AAAAATAATTTTATTGATATGTTCTTGACATAAAACCCATTGTTCATTTGTTAAATCATTTAAATGACATACAAAACAGAATGCAAACATAGGTGATGTTAAAAATAATGTAAATAAACTTCCTTTATTTTGATAATCTAATTTAAAACAAAAATAGAATCTTCAAGATTAGATTTTTCTGCTTACCATGAAATACTGCAGGTAATTTAATAGGTGATAGTAATGATACGAATGGTTGACCAAATAAATTTGGCATATTTTGAAATGTAATACTATTATTACTATCGATTATTAAAAATAATGGTTTACGTAAGAATGGATAAAGATCTCCTGGAAATATATTATGAGCATCTTTAATTGATCCGGTTGGTGTGTTTGATGTTATTGCTGTTGATGATGTGTTCGTATTTGATGGTGAAGATTTTTTTGCTAATGTATTTGTTGCTGATGTTGATGGAGAATTTGGACTATCGATTGTATCATCACGACGATTATTTGTTTTAACACCACCGAAATCATAGGATTGTTCAACTTTACTTTTTAAATGTGTATCATAACCATCAGCAGATATATAAAGAAGTAAAGTACCATGTTGTGATAATTCTTTAAATGCTGAAGCTGTAAAAGCATAAATTTGACTGAATGTTGGTTTATATAGTAGATATTTATGAGGATTTGGCCGATTTTGAAAATCACCATCATAGACATTCTAAATAAGAAAATTTCGTGTATACAGATAAAAATAATTTAATTCAATTAATAACTAATTTGATTATATAAAAATTATTACAAGCGACAATTCAATATATTCATCAAGTAGTAGATCTGAGAACAGATCATCCATGATAGTATAAATGTGTACGTGATCAACATATATATTGAATCAATCATGCAAAATGATCATCGATCTTGATAATGAAGTTACCGATCTAATTTAGTGTTCAATGTCGATTAACAATGTTTCTTTCTTTTCCTAACACCAGTGTTTTATCTAGCTTTTTTCGTCCGAGGGTGCGAAATTAACTGCCGGGGGGGCAAAAGGCTCTGTGCCCCCCCCCCCCCCCGCTGGATAAACCACTGCCTAACAGAGTTCATTGTATGAAATTTTGATTTAACCTCGTAGGTTCTTTGAAAATCTTTCATCTAACTAATAAATTAGAATTAGTCAAATAATCATATAAAAGAGATGGATGATTATATTATATATGACATGATAGTATGCCTTTTCTTTTTTTGACATGAAAGCACGTTATCATTGAAAAACTGTCTAATATAATCATGATAAAATTAAAATAATCAATCATATCATCTTACATAAATGTCACGTTGTTGATGATTAGTTGATGCTGGAGATTGAATAGTTGTTTTTTCATCATAGGATGTTGAAGATTCAATGGCTTGTCTTTCAACAGCTTGTAACATTCGATACATATCAATTGTAACTAGAAAAAAAAAGGTCTTATCGAAATTAGCTTTACAGAAAAAAGTATTTTCATTTACGTTCACTAAATTTAATTTGATCTTGATAATTTCCAATAATAAGTATTTCTTCAACTGTATATAATTGTATAGTTGATAAAATCTTATCTGAACCTGTTGGTAATGGTGGTATTATTGTATTTGTTAAACGATATGATAATGTTATTGGTACATGATCAATATTTAATTGATTATCAACATCGATAAATGATGAAATTTCATTAAGAACAAGTTGCCATTCAAGACTATCATCTGGATCATATGCTTTAACATATTCATCAATTTGTCGATTTAATTCACGTACTAATTCACGCATAATTTTCGTTTTTTTCAATAAAAGACAAACAACAATAAAACGTGCATAATAACGTAATTTTTTAACCATTAAATCAGGTTTTTCTTCACGATTTACTTTTGAATAATAGGCACGTGTACGTATAGCTGAATAAAATGCAAAAGCTTCATTTAAATAATTTGTTTCCGATGTACGAATATAAAAATGATAATAAAGTTGACCAATTTTTGAAGCTATTTCACCTATTTGACAACGTTTTAAACCATATTTTTTATCAAGAAGAACTCTATACAATACAAAAATTACAAAAAAAACAAAAAATATATTTTTCTACCGATGTTGTTGTTGAAATTTCCATAATTTCGTATATACATCAAATGTACGTCCAAAATAGGGTTGCCATTGTTTATGACCATATTGTGGAAGATCCCTGAGAAGAAAAAAATGTGCAATAGAAATATCATTATCATAAAAATCTTACCTCAATCCATTAAATAATTGTTTTGATTTTTCTAATAGATGACTAAATTCTTGTACGATTTTATCTTCATAATCATCTCCATGAGTTTCATTTAGATGTTGTTGGTTTGCAGGCGAACTAGTTTTTTCCGTCGGAGTCATACCTGCTGCTGTCATTCTTTCATTACCGGAAGTAATCTTTTTAACATGGAAAGGATTTACTCTACAAAAGAAATACAGATCTATATATATATATATATATATAATTTAAAAATTCACGGTTTTTCTCATTTCTATGATTAGTAAATCATTCCTTGTTTTCATTTAAAGATAATGGACGGAAAACAAACAACATAAATACAATTACAATATTAAGAAGCACAGTAAAAAAATTCTCTGGTATTTGATTTCACATTAAGAAGAAGAAGAAAAAACGATTCGGACGGAATGTTATATTCTATGCAAACATTTGCATGCTTGCAAAATTATAAAATTTATCAAGCTGTTCTTGAGCTTCATTTGCTGATTGACTTATGAAATCTAAAAATAATAATTTTTGTTTTTCTCCTTCAATATTTATCGTGAAAAATTCATACGCGGTAAATTTTGATACTTCGATGTAACTAAATTTTTAAGTATTTCTTGACATGTTTCTATACAATTTGTACCAGCAAATTCAAGTCCGATAACAGGACCTTTAGTAACTAATGAATTGTAATTTTTATTTCCAGAAAATAATCGTTCAGCACTCATGTCATTTACTGAATAACATTTTGTTTGAACAAGTACAAGCTAAATTTATACAAAAGATTGAATAAAAACAAATTTGAAATTAATAAACCTCGGATTTCTTAGTCATGGTAATTAAATCACGTGCACAAGAACTAGCATTTGAATCATGAAATAATATTATCAAACAACGCTAAAAAAAATAATGATATTTAAATTTATTTATCTATTATTTACTTCTTCATAACGATTTCGATATAATTCTCCATAGGTAAATGGTGTTACACTTGTATCCATACTATCATTTATATTCAAATGACTACACGATGGATCTGTTGGAATTGGTAAATGTTTGAATACATTTTCATTCTATTTAAAAGAGGAAATTTTGGTAAAACAAAGAATTTAATTCAAATTTTACTTGATCCAATAATGAATAATTTTTTCCATCGGGTATTTGGGTAAAATCATGAATATTTCCCCAAGTATTATTCCATGGACTAATACCTGCTGCATTGTATTGTTCTAGAATTTAAATAATCATTTATATTTAATTTGTTTTGATTAATATTACCCGCTAAGTTTTGATAATTAAATGTTAAACATCCAAATTTAATATTATGTGATGATTCAATAATTGGTTGACTAGCACAAGATAAATAAACATATAAATCTCGACAATCTCGAGTACGAAATTGTTGACACACTGTTGCTAATACACAATTGGTTGAATCTCGAATAAAAATACTAAACAAGAACTTCTTTATTTATTAACAAGACATATATTGACATAGATACCTTCCATGAACAGGACCTATAAAAATTCGACAATTGGTACAATCATCAATTTGTATTTGACCAGTATGATCAAATACATAAACAGTACAATTCTATGAATAGAAAAACTTCATATTTTATATATGACAGATAGTTACTCACGTCACAGTTTTGCACTAAAACAACAACAAAAATTATTATGACAATAGAATATGTATTTTGAATCTTACCAATAAATTGTTGTCCATTAATTGAACCTGGTATTCGATAAATAGTTTGATCTTTAAGTTTATCAAGAATAAAATCTTCTTTTTTTATTGCTTGTCGATCTTCTCGTTCCCTAAGAATACATCTCTATGTATAGATTTATGATGAATTCTTCTCTTACCATGAGAATACTTGACGTGGTGTTTCAACAATATCAGCACTAGCCGAAGGACGGAAGAAATATGAGAATAAGCATCCCATATCTAACAATAAGATCCAAGCACAAAAAAATTGTAACGAAAAAATACTTTTCTTTTTCTTTTTTTTTCTTCTTCTTCTTGTTTACGATGTCATCGTTAATCAAGATCTGTCTTAGTCCATATTTTACCCAATACATTCCATTGTTCTATTGCTTAACTAACTTGTTCAAATGCATAGAAAGAAAGAGGACGAATGATTTTCTATGTCTGCATTGTCATGGAAATGACATGACAGTTGTCGATGATAAGATACGAATTGAATTTTTCTTGCTTTCTGATTCAATCAATCAATAGATCATGTCTCAACAAGGTGCTGCATTACAGAACTATAACAATGAATTAGTTAAATGTATCGAAGATTTATGTGGAAAACGTGATGAATTACAACGTCAAATATTAATTGAAGAAGAAGATAAACATCGACTGGAAACTGAAATACGTTTATCAAGTGAAAAATTAGCTCGAATAAATGAAAATTTAGCTAAAAAAATAACTGCAAGAACAGAATTTGATCGTACAATTAGTGAAACAGAAGCAGCGTATATGAAAATTCTTGAAAGTTCACAAACACTTCTTAATGTATTAAAAATAACTTTATTTTTTCATTATAATTTAATCATTTTTTCTTTATTTTTTATCTTAGGTACTCAAACGAGAATCACATTCACTTCGTACTAAAGTTGATGAGTAAATTAAGAATAGTCTTATTTTTTCTTATCCATACACAATTTAAGTCATTTTCTTTCTTTCTCTTCCATTTTGTCAGACTCATTTATTTGTATATTAGAAATAAATTATACAAAAACAAGTAAAATTAAACAAAGAATAATATTCGTTAAATAGAATTTTAAATTTAATACAGAGTTCATATAACAGGATTTTTCTCGATGTGAAATTATTTCAAAATTAGTTACATTCATACATAATATATTTTCAATATAAGTATCAAGTTCTTTTGCATATTCATTTGATAACGATCTTGTACGACTAAATACCCATACAGTTGGATCATCACATGGATCATTAAGTCTATAATTCTTTGTCTTACATCTATAAATTAATGCGTAATGATTATAGTCCGTTTTCAAAATATAGTATGGCCAATAGAGATCGGTAGTATAAGTAAGTTCGTTTTTTTCAACTTGAATCATTTTAGCACTATCATTTGCAATTAATAACCATGGACCAAATGAAAAACATTGGTCTTCTTGCGTTAATCGTGCTTTACCATAAACAAGAAGACGTTCGCTAGAATTAGTCTCTAGTTGAAATGATTGTGAAAAATCATGCCATACATCAAATCCAGTGTTTGTTTCATTTATATATGCTTTGATTTCATACCATATACCAAGAAAATTATGTAAACTGAAATTCGATTGCACAGTTAAGTTTGAAAATGTTGGTGTTGTACATGCTGTTGATCTATTTATTAAAAGGACAACTTGTAACAACAAGATCCAATACATAGTGATTTGTTTTTTCTTCTTTTGATATGATAAACAAGTAGAACAACTCAAATTTTATATAGACGCAACTAGATGCAAATATAATTCAATTCACGACATCAATATAACTATTATGTATATACAATGAGGTGTGAATATGATTCAGCACACGACATTTATCAGAGATATTATCATTAAAATATCTACCTACCTTTTCATCTATATGCTTATCAAACTATTTATTTGTCGATGATAAAGTTGTGTGTTAGTGGTATTATCGCTGAAGTTTATCATAAACTCACATAATTGAATCAACAAATATATAAAGTGTGAAAAAGACTCGACAATAAAATAGTGTGAGATATTTTTTTTGTTATTTTCTGTGAACTAATTTTAGAGTATTTTTATATATATACACCCTCGATGAAACTGCTATTCAATGTTTTTGATTGATATAGATGCCCTGATTTCTATCTAATATTTCAAATGAAGCGAAAATATAAGAGAAAAAGATTGATTACTATTATTGGCAATCAAAAATAGCTTTAGGCAAATCTAACAAAATAATGATTTTTTTACTTATGAGAAGACTTCTTGTTGTATTCTAGCATCTGTAAGCCAATGGTCATAGTGACCGAACATTATTTATAACATTAGACACACTATAGTTGTGTATCTGATAACCCTTCATAGTTCTTTTGAAAACGATAATATCTACTTTTACTATAGATGGTCCTGCTTAATATAAAATATCAGTTGAGTGATACATTTCATTGTCTATGAGAATTTTGACCTGTGAGTACGAATATTAATGATCAAAACGATTAATTGTACTGATAATTCTTGAAAAATCTAAGTATTACATAAGATTTCGCTTCCTTTCATGGTATGATATCTTATAACAGAGCGAGATACTTATAAAATGATTTCTTATCAGCTTAATGCTATTTTGATCGATGTCTAATTCATGTCTGATCTCTTAAAATCAAAATGAAGATGATATAAGTGTTTCAGCCATCATTTATTTCTATAATATTTCGCTCTTCTTTAAGACTAATTCGAAGAAATTACTGCCTTATCCTTCTTACATTAATAATCTTCTTATGTACAAATATCAACATAGATAAATTTTCTAAACAAACGAATGGTGAGACTTTATTGAATTGATGTATGATTACCCTTCAATTACAAACTATGTAAAAAAAGACTCTAGCTTTCGATGTCTGATGACAGATATTTGATTAAAATCCTTTTTTAATAAAATATGCAAACGATCAAATTACTCTACTTCGTCTGACAATATCGAAAGTCTCAAGTAACATTCATTTTCTTTTTTATCAATTACTAAAAAAAGAACTTGTTTTTTTTTAAATAATACAGCAAATATTGATTTTCTTTTTTTTTT